AAGATCTATTTTGAAACAGAACGCTGTGATCGGATTATATCTGTCTGCCTTCAAGGAAATCCAGTCAGTACAACTATTATTCAGATTCATGCACCAACCACAAAAGCTCGTGCTGAAGAAACTGAAGAATTCCACCAATACCTTCCGTCTGAAACGGATCAAACATGCAATGAAGATGCGTTGATAATTATTAGCGATTGGAATGCAAAAGTAGGAAACAAAGAGCAAGGAACAGTCATTGGAGAATACAGTCTTGGTGACAGAAATGAAGCTGCAGATCACATGATAGGTTTTGCAAGACCAACAACTTGCTCATAGCAACTAACTTTTTCCATTAACACAAAAGGAGACTATACACTATACACGTGGGTCTCAAAGGACGGAACACACAGACATCAAATTGACTACATTTGTAGAAAGAGACAATGGAGAAGCTCAGTATCAGCAGCTAAAACCAGGCCAGAGGCTGAGTGTGGAACAGACCATCAATTGCTCCTATGTAAGTTCACGTTGACACTGAAAAAAATCGAAACAAGTCCACACGAGCTGATACATGACCTTGAGTGTATCCCACCTAGATTGTGCGAACATCTCAAGAAGAGATCTAACACACTGGCCATTAATGACGTTAGACCTAATGAGCAGTGGGATGGCGGCAGGCACATCATACTTGGAAAAAAGCAAAAGGTCATTCCGAACAAAACAGGAGAGAAAGAAAAGATCTAAGCGGATGTCAGAAGAGACCCTGAAGCTGCTTCTTCTGGGTAGAGCAGTGATGCAAATGGGAGCAAGGATGAGGTTAAAGAGCTGACCAGAAAATTTCGAAGGGCAACCCAAGAAAAAAACGAAATAAAACATCTATGATGAAATGTGCAAAGACTTCAGAGTTAGAGCACAAACAGGAAGAACACGTTCAGCGTGTCTTAAACGGCAGGAACTAAAGAAAAATGCCAAGCCTCGAGTTGCAACATTAAAAGGCTCTCTAAGACTGCCCCCCTTCTTCCCACCCCCCTCTGCTGATTGGAGAAGGGGGGAAGTAATCTACCTTCCAATGTACTCTGCCTGAGGGCAAGATGGTCCACAGACGTCGTTAATGATCCGAAGCAATTCAATGAAGGCTTAATCTATGTGGGGACTCTGCAGATGGATTTTGGACTCTATCATCCACACGCTTCTGCAAACTGTTCAGAATGTAGGCTCTCACGTCTGTCTCAATTGCAATCTGGACTGACTGGGCAACTGGGAGGCCCAGTCAGGCCCCGTGGAAGCAACCAGAAAAAGAATAGAGAGTCAATGCACCAAAAAGAACTAGTCAACATCCCACCATTTCAGGAGGCAGCATATGAGCAAGCACCAGTGGTGGTGAAGGAAAACGTTGGAGCTGCACTGAAAGCATTAGCCAAAAAATGAGGCTCCGGGAATTGCTGAATTATCAATGGAGAGGTTTCAACGAGCTGATGAGGCACTGGAAGCACTCACTCATTTATGTCAGGAAATGTGGAAGACAGCTACTTGGCCAACTGACAGGAAGAAAGCCATATTTGTGCTCATCCCAAAGAAAGGTGAGCCAACAGAACACTTACATTATAGACCAATGTCACTAATATCACACAAAAATAAAAATGTTACTGAAAACCACTCAACAATGGTTGCAGCAGTTCATGAACAGGGAGCTGCCAGAGGTTCAGGCCGGATTCAGAAGAGGACATGGCACCAGGGCGATCATGGCTGGTGTCAGATGGAGCGTGGTTCAAATCCGAGAATACCAGAAAGGTGTTTGCTTGTGTTTGATCGACTGTGTGGGTCAAACAAAAGTGTTCTGGGACATCCCGAACGCTTAATCGGGCTCTTGTGGGACTTGCCCGTGGATCAAGAGGCAGTTATGTGACCAGAACAAAGGCAGACTGTATAGTCTAAATCTGGAAAGGTGTGCATCAGGGTTGTATCCTCTCACCATGCTTAAATCAATCTGTATGGTGAGCAAATCATCAGAGAAGCTGGACTCTGTGGAGGAGAGTGTGGCATCGGATGGGAGAAAGGCTTCCTAACAAGCTGCACCATGCACCTTGCTTGCTGAAAGGGAGGAGGACTTGAAGCCCTTGCTGGTGAAGATCAAGGATCGCAGCCTTCTGTATGGATGACAATTTAATGTCAAGAAAACCCCAAGTCTTACAACTGGACAAGTAGGTAACATTATAAACGGAGAAAAGATGGAAGTCGTGAAGAGTTTCATCTAGCTCGGGAGAAGCAGTCACGAGATCAAAAGATGGGCTGCACTGGGTGAGTGCTGCACCGCACCTCCTGAAAGCGCCGAAAAGCAAGGACGTTACTTCCAGGACTAAGGTGCATCGGATTCAGTCTATGGTATTTCCAACTGCCCCACAGGCACGTGAAAGTTGGACACTGAATATAGAAGACCAAAGAATGACTGATGAAGTTGAACTGTGGTGCCGAATACTGAAATTACTATGGCCTGCCAGAGGAACAAACATGTCTATCTTGGAAGCAGTGCAGCCAGATGGTCCTTGGAGGCGAGGATGGTGAGACTTTGGCTCACGTACTTCAGCCACGTTGTCAGGAGAGACCAGTTCCTGAGGACATCGTGCTTGGAGAAGCAGAGGGGCAGTGAGGAGGAGGAAGGCCCTTGATAAGAGGATTGATTGACACGGTGGCTGCAACAAACGGGCTCAAAGGTAAGAACCCTTGTGTGAGGAGCGCAGGCCGGGCAGTGCTTCGTCCTGTTGTACAAAACATTGCTGTGAGTCAGAACAACAGACTCGACACTACACTGAACAACATGCCTGTGATTCTTGGTCCATCTGGGAATGGGAATGGGTTGTCTTTGTTCATTAGGAAGGCTTGGTGTTGGGTATAAGCGGGATTAAATACCAACCAGCCAGCAGAGAGGGGAGAGGAGAATTGGAGAACCACCTGAGCACCGTCCAGGAGGAACAGGTCCGAACAGACATTTCCCTGCAGAGCTCGTACAGGAAGCCCGCCCTAAAGCTCACAAGCTGTGTCTGGACTTGCAGCCTCTTAAACTGTGGGGGAATACATTTGTTTCGCAAAGCCGTCCCCTTGTGGTATTTCTGTTGGAGCAGCCCTAGATGCCCTGGTGGCGCAGTTGGTTAAGCGCTGGGCTGCCCACTCTGAGATCGTGCCTTGACCACCAGCTATCTTGCAGGGGAAAGACGAAGCTGTCTGCTCCGGCCAAGACTGACAGCCAGCCCCAGAAGCCCTACAGAGGGTTGCCAAGGAGTTGGGATGGACCCTAGGGCTATGGCTTTGGTTTGGGGCTCAGATAATAACCAAGAGGGCTCCCCTCTCTAGTTCTTTCTGCAACTCCCACGGCAGCTCCGAGTGGTTTCCTAGGACCCATTGGCTGGCGCCTGGTGTCTGACACACAGGGGGTCTGGAGAGGTCCCAGGGGAGGAGGGTGCCAGGAAGGGTCCTGCTTCCCTGCGTCTTTGGGTACTGCTTTCAGGCCAGGTGCCATTGTAAGGAATTGGCCTTTTCCTTGGCTTTCCCTCCAGAGGCAGAAGGGGGCAGGCACCCAGGCTCAAGAGGAGATGCCCGTAGGCAATGTGCTGGCCCTGCAGCTCCTGCCCCTCCACCTTCACTACTTTACCGGACTCTGAAACTGAGCCCTTTAGGGGTGGGGTGGCAGTCTAGACAGTGAGACCCCCGACAGACCTGGGCTGAGCTCCCAATCCAGATGTTCACGTGATGTTCTGAGTCACGAAGCGATGGCAGACGGCTGACCAGGTAACAGACACATGCACGGGCCAGGCAAGACATCTCATGGGGGACGTTTGCCTCAGTGTGCAGGGCTGGAGGCAAGAAAGGCTTGTCATGGGTGGGGCGAGGGCTGGGCTTCGAAGGATGGAAAGGAGGAGGCTGAATGGGGACCAAGGGGGCCAGGGAGGCCTCAGGGGTTCCAGACACCAAGCCCAGTGGGCTTTCCTTTCCTCTCTGTTTTTGCGGTCAGCACGCTCCGGACCTCTCATATCCACTGTGGCTTCTTCCCGATGCGTGTTCCCTTCTCCGCTCCCCAGTCTGAAACCTGAGGTCTCACCTGCTTCAAATCCTTCCGTGGCTCCCCATCGCCTCCACCTCCCTAGCTTTGGGGCCAAACCACCCTAAACCCACTCGAACTAAAGAGCCCTGCCTGTCTTGAACCCCAAGCCACACAACCACAGCCAGTTTTGAAAAGTGATCTCTAGTTTTCTTAACCACCTGTCAGATGAATATCATGAGCTCCATTTCACAAGTGGGTAAACTGAGTCTCACTCAGAGGTTGAGGGCCCCCAGGGCAGCTTGCATATGATAGTTCTGTCATTGATTCCCATGCTCTTGGGCTGTCTGTCTGTCTGCACCAGCATGAAGCTGGCACCCCAAAGGCTTGGCTCAGTCACACCCGATCCCCCTCACCGCCCGGCACGACCTCATTGATCCGCAGGCAGGCCTGGCCACATCTTTCTCACCGTGGCTGGAATTCCTAACGGCAGGTGGGCCGTCCTCCTCCCACACTGGGAGAGCAGAGATCAAGACTTGTGTCCCAGCACCTGGGGCCCCACCTGACACCTTTTGGCTCAGTAAACAGCTGTGGCTCCAGCCGATGGGCAGCCCTGCCAGGCCCGCCCCATGGGGGATTCTGCTGGGAAGCTCCCTGGCAGCCCCAGGAGAGGGCCCGTGCTTACTTTTACAATTGGGTCTTCTCCCACAGACAACCGCACCACCACCACCACCATCACCTGGGCAGAACCAGCCCCTGGCCTGCCCGCCACTTTCAATCACCCAACCAGTGTGGGAGCAGCCAGTCTCACTGTGGGTGGGAAACAGGTCAGTCTTGTAAGGGCAGGGCTGCCCCCTCCCCTGGCCTGCCTCCCCTTCCACAGAGGCTTCTGGGACTGGGTCTCTCCAGGGTGAGCTTCCAGAGTCCCGCCCTGGCCCTGTGTCTGATGGAAAGCTGAGGCAGATGGGACAAGGGACCAAGGGACCAAGGTGCCTAGCCACCAGCCGCCGCCAGTTTTATTGCAACCAGATCCCCCAAGTCTGTCACATGGGAGGAGGGTCAGGGAGGGGACAAAGCAGGGCACCTTCTGTTTCTGTGTGACGCTCCCAGCCCCAGGAGTCCATGTCATCTGAGTCAGGTGGGCTGAGGGAGGGAGGAGCTGATGGGTTTGCGGGGCTCAGGGCTCTGGGCTGCTGCCCTGACCCCTGTCCTTGGTGGGTTGTTAGGGGGAGCTGCAGCAGTCTGCCCACGGGGTGAGGCCCTGGCAGGTAACCAAGTACACAGCAGGCCCTGGGGCCTGTCTCCGAGGTCAGGCTGCGCCCACACACGGCCCAGCCTCCGGCCAGCCTGGCCGCTACGAGGGGACCTGGTCCATGACCTGGAGCACGTCGTCCAGGATGGAGGGCCCCAGGTCCACGTGCAGTGAGAGCAGGGAGCTGGCCTGGGACAGGAAGGGCTCCTCCGCCTCGGACGTGGGGGTCAGCCCATTGTGGGCGTGGCTAGCCTCCTCAGCCTCCGACGTGGGGGTCAGCCCATTGTGAGCGTGGCTAGCCTCGGGAGTCCTCCAGAGGTCCACACCCTCAGCCTCCGGTGGGGAGGGCTGGGGGGTCTCCAGGTGCAGCCGAGGGGGCTTGGGTGGGGCCTGGGCCAGCGGCAGGGTGAGGGCCTGGGGGCCAGCGATGACCGGGAGAGAGATGGCGTTCTTCAGCAGCGGGGACGGCCCGTCCGGCAGCCCCTGACCTAACACCGTGGCTGTGCGCATGAATGGGAAGGGCAGCTCCAGGGGGCCATCTTCTGGACCTTCGCCTGCTGTACCGGGCAGGAGGTGGAATTTGCCCTGCAGGAAGGAGATGTCCCCAAACATGTCGTCCCCACCGCCGCTGCCGATGTGGATGGTGTGGCGGAAGTCCCCCAGCGGAGGGCTGATCATGTCGGAGGACAGGAGGTCCCGAAGCTTCTCCTTCTTGCCCTTGCGGCCGCTGCGCTTCAGGTAGATGGGCACCTTGGTGGACATGGCCCCCTTGGCCCGGCTCTGCGCTCTCACTGGCACGGTGGCTCCAGCGACGACTTCTGGCGCCACAACTTGGCTAGGGGGGGAGGCAGGCAGGAGTTGATCCAAGGAATGAGACAAGGGCAAAGGGTTGAGAGGCCCAAAGCCACTTTTCCCCACCGTTTCCCGGAAGCTGGAAGCTGGGAATCTTGTAGGCAGTGAGGGACACTCTTGGATATGTCCACTCAGATGTCCCCTTGGTCCCAGACTGAGGCCCTGCAGGTGCTCTGAAACACAAAGGTCAAAGTCAGGACAGCTAGGCAAAGGTCAGAAGCTAGGCATTGTGTCCTGGGAGTCCGTGTGAGGCCACCCTCCCGCAGGAAGCCCTGCTGGAGAAGGCTTCTCGCTCACAGACACCCCCTATCCCGTGGCAAGTGGGGAAACTGAGGCCCGGGCACTTGAGTTGCCGCACAAAGTCCTGGCTCAGGTTTCCTGCCTGGCCTCAGTCCCTAGCTTGACCTCCACTGCACCCCAACTGTGCCTCGGACTTGAAGGAGCCTCGTCTTCTAGTCTCCAGTCCCTCCTGGCCCGGGGTGGGGTGGGGGGTGGCCAGGAGGGGGATGACTCCATTTTCCCCACCCAGGGCTAAGGTGTGCACAGCAGGGGGTCCATTTCTCTATTCTCTTCCCCTGGGTTATGAGTCTTTGAGGGAGGGGCCGAGTCTAACGGTCCTCTCCCTCCCCCTACCTCCGAGGGTCCATAGATTCCCACACTGATTTGGCCTCCCACCCCCTTTTTAGAGAAAACCCCCAAAACTCAGAGTCCTCTCCCCCGACCCCTGCGGTTATAAATGTTGCACTGTAGCCCATAATCCAGGAGCTCCAGTCGAGTCGGGCCCTGCTTCTGCAGACCTGGAGCTGGAATGAGCCACCGATGCGCCGCTGCCACTGGACCCACAGGACTTCCCACCCACTGGCTGTGATCTTCTGCATTCGGCATCATTGCATGTGTTGTGTGAGTCTGAAGAGGGCTTTATAGATTGGTATCGGACATACGGGGTAAAAATGGACTTATGGACTTGATCTGGACTGGACTGGGATGGTTTCTCAATATTCAATTGCTCAGAAGGCTCTTTCTTAGACACATATGAGTCTCCCTGGACTTGTTCTCTAATCAACCCAGACTAACACAGTTGTCTTCAATAAAAATGATTCTTTGATTCCATTGTGGTAAAATGATACACACATGCAGGACCTGTGCATAATACTGTGTGTGCGTGTGCATGTGTGTGCATGTATAGAAAATGAAACGACGGTCACCAAAATGTTGGATGTTTTGCTTAGGCTGTTCATTGCGGCGGACATCAATGCAATAAGACATGTGCCGTTTCAGCCGTCTCCACACACACACCCTGCTGAGCAGCAGAAGCCAGTGGGTTTTACAGTTCCTATGGCACCGTTCAGTGGTGCCGACGAGGCCTTTGAGCTGTACAGCTATTCTCACCCCGCTTCTCGGAGTTGCTCCGTCCCCGTGAACATGAACTCCTCCTGGAAGAAGGGCCCCGTCTAACCTCCCAGTTTCTGATGTCAATTTAACTCCATATAAGCCAAAAGTCCACAGTCATCCAGTTGATTCTGACTTACAGTGACCCTATAGGGCAGGGTAGAACTGCCCTGAAGGGCTTCCGAGACTCTAATTCTTTATGAGTAGAAAGCACTGTCTCCCGAGGAGCAGTTGGTGGTTTTGAACTGCTGACCTTGTGGTTAGCAGCCCAATGCGTAACCCCTAGGCCACTACATCTTAAAGGAGCGCAACGTTCAAGGCAGACCTTCACTACTTGTGAAGCTAAACGACTGTTTGCTTTAAGAAGACGTGTGGGGTTATTTCTGAATTAAAGTTTAATGCACAACGGTGACTTCAGGACCAGCGTTTCAGGGGTTCTTCCAGCCTCTGGGATTCCAGAAAGTCTAGATCCCTTGAGCCTTTGAACTTCGGTTCAGCATTTGCCCCTTTGTGGTCAGGATTCTTCTACAGAATCTTGGCTCGAAATGTAAACCAGTCGCTTTGAGATCTGAAAGAGCACACGAGGTGCAGCCACAAGCTAGCACAAACGAGGGAAAACAGAGGCCACGGGAAGACTGCCAAGGAACCGGGGACTAGAAGCCGAAAGAAAAAGAAAACCTTCCTTCAAAGCCAACAAACTCTCCCAGTGGAGCTGCACCCTGAAGTCAGACTTTGGCTCTTAAGTTGTAAAAGGAGCCCTGGTGGCATAGGGGGCTGTTCACTGTGCTGCTAACTGCAGGGCTAGAGGTTCGAGAGAAAGATGAGCACGATGAGTCTCCACTTTCATAAAGATTTAATCTCGGAGGCCCACAGGTGCAGTTTGACTCTGTCCTACGGGGTCGCTAGGCGTCAGAACGGACTCATTGGCAGTGAGTTTGGGTTTTAAACTTTGAAACAACAAAAGACCAGTCCCTGACAAAAGACCAGTCCCTGGGAGAGGATATGGTGCTTGGTGAAGCAGAGGGGCAGCGAAAAAGAAGCAGTGATTAAACAGAGTGACTCTGGGTCAATGGGCTCAAACAGAACCCTCTTTTGATGTGGCCGGCCCGGAAGGTGTTTTCTTCTGTTGCACAGGGGTCGCTATGAGTCAGCACTTTGTCTTTACAGTCCCCTGCTGTGGCATCTGTTCCAGCAGGGCTAGGATACTAAGACGAAGCAAGTCACATGAGCCTTCTCCTAGTTCCGGGGTGGGGGATGCGCAGCCGGTCTGAGGGGCCCACACCTGTGAGCCCAGGTGGTCAAACAACAACAGTCTACTACCATCGAGCCGATTCTGATACCTAGTGGCCGCGGTGACCTTACAAGACAGAGTCGACCTGTTCTGCGGGGATTCTGCGACTGTGAATCTGTACAGGACTAGATAGCCTCATCTTTCTCCCAGGGAGTGGCTGCTGGGTTTGACCTTGCAGTCAGCAGCCCAACGCTGTACAATCACGAATGCAAAAGAAAAACGCCGTGTGCAAGGTCGTCCAATAGGAGTCCTGGTGATGCAGTAAGTTGGGCTGCGAACGGCCAAGTCAGCAGTTCAAACCCACGAGCCACTGCTCCGGAGAAAGACGGTCTTGGAATCCAGCAGGGGCAGTTCTACTTCCTTCAAAGGGGTCACTGAGGGTCAAAATCGACTCGGTGACCAGACGCAATCCAGATAAGTCGCCTCTCTCCCACTACCGGCCTTCCCCGGCCAGCCAGGAGCACTAGACCAGGTGGGCAACCAGCCCAGCAGAGGCTGTGCAGTGGCCTGGCAGGGGGCTCTGCCAGCTCCCTCGGCCCAGTTCTTCACCCTGGGGAGGGTGGGAACGCATCCACAAGGGGAACAGGAAGGACACAAGAGGAGTCTCTCGCCGCCCAGGCCCTGGCTCAGGAAACCCCACCCAGGGGTCAATCATACTGAGCCGCAGAGGCTAGACATCTTGTCCCTCCCGGAGCACCTGCCATTGAGCAGGAAACAAAAGGAATGGCTCTTTAGTGGCCAACATCCAGCTAGGCCGGGAGGGGCTGGGACATGCAGGAGGGGCTGGAATCCCACCACTCGTTCATCTAGGGGGCCCTAGAGTCTGCCCCCTCCTCAGGCTAGAGGTCCTGGGGTGGCTTCTCGAGCCTTTTGACCCCCATTTTATGTGGGTGGAGGGGCTGATGGGGAAAGTTTGCCTGGAGCCAGGTTCACGCCCACCCATTGCACAGGGGCGCCAGGATGGACTGATTGTTTCCACAACAAACCGGGCGTCCCTGACAGCTGCCTCGTCCCAAGCCAGAGGTATACACCCAATTCCAGATGTGGGGAGCACAGAGGTTGGGGGGAGGGTGGGGCCCGCAGTGGCCACCCAGGGGAGAGCTGGGGAACATGGCCATCAAGGGCATCAAGGCCCAAGTATGCACACTTGGCAGCCAGCAGACCCAGGTCCAGCGAGGCCTTTGCACAGGCTCATTCCCTCTCTCCGGCTGGGCAACAGCTCAATGGGTATAAGGCCTGCCTTCTTCAGAGCCGCACATGGACAGAGAGCTTAAGTAACTCGTGGCAGCAGGGGCTCTGAAGGAGGCCCAGGCCAAGCCCCCAGGGCTGGGATGTTTCCTAACCACTCCTCCCACCTGCAGGCAGCCACACCCCACCTCCCTTGTCCAGGTGACAGTCTGTTCCCTTATACCAGGCACTCGCAGGATTGATGAGGGCAAAGGCTAAGACGGAGCAGAAGGCAGCCTGGGACACTGGTTCTGTTTCCAAGCAGGTAACCCTGGCTAGATTAATGGCCACCCTGAGTACAGCTCTGGTCATAAGGCAAATTTCCTCAAGCAGGGTGGCGCCCCGGGGACA